CCGCCACTTACCATTTACCAATGTCTCTGCTGTTACTAAATTCTTGTTGAAAAGATTGTAGGCTTTGACTTTCACGCAGTTGTTGATGTGCCATGTGCACAGTAAATGGCTCGACTCCGGAAACAGCTCCGCTATAGGGGCAAAAAGACCTCCCTCACAATCACTTACGATGGCCGATGGCTGTACATTTGGGCCGATGTAGTTTCTCAACTTTTCCAACACCCAACGGTAACTCGCAGCCGTCTCATCCTTCATGACTGCATAACCAATCAGAAAGTTCTGGTTCGTTGGAGCCATCCCAACCATCTCAACCAGTGGGAACTTGTACTTGTTTGTCTTGTACGTTGAATCGATCAAAATCACATATGGCCAAGACGAAATCATATCAGCACAATCAGGATGGACAAGGAACAAATGAGTTACCTCCGATGTGTCTTCGTCAGATTCAAACCAGTAAAGGTAACCACGTGCTTGTGCCTGGTGCAGAAGCTGCTGTATAGGGTTCCTTCCCTCTGACCGTTCAAACCTCAATTTCTGTCTGACGTTGTAGATGTGTCTTCGGTTTGGCTGGTCTTCGGGGAATTTCTCTAACACAGACGCTAATATTTTAGCGGGCTTCACTTGAGCATCACTCATTTCTTTTACAACTAGTTTCGCAGCTGGACTTAGGCCGCTTAACTGCCGATGCCCCACTTTGTATGCTATCAGCTCATGGTTGTGATATCCCCATTTGCCGTAACCCTTCACTTCCCAACCGTCACGCCTTTGATGTTGTCGAACCTTAACTCGGAACTGACACCCACAACCTTTCCGCTTTGAGTCAAACCGAATCGCTTTACTGAAATCTCGTTCTTCTCTTTTGCGATAACGGTCGCATCTCAAAATGCGATCCATTCTACCATCCCGTTGAGATTTATGAGTTGCTACTACTAAACAAAAGCCTGATCTAATTGCAACCTGTTTTGCCCAATCAATCACTTGTTGAGCATCTTCGAACAGGCCATCATGTACAAAAATCCCACTGTAATCATTTCCGTCTCCACCATAATCCTGTAACAATAACATATAACGTATAAATATAATTACATTAAGATTAAATTAATACACTTAACACAAAATTATCACAAACGCAATTTCTAAATTTTAAATTTCTAAATATCATTTTTATATTTAACGCATAATACATTTAAAAAACAAAATAATAACACACATTTCATTTCAAATTTATCAAACATAAATAAACAAACAAAAAAAACCATAATAAAAAAAATAAACAAATACAAAACAAAATAAAACAAAATAAAACAAAAACAAACACAAAATAAAAGATGCATTAAAAAAACTTAATTAAAAAAAAAAATTAATTCCCTCCAAAAAAAATTAAAAGGAAATAAAACAACACAAGCAAACAAAAACAAAAAAATTCCAAAAAAAAAAAACAAAACAAAATAAAACACCACAAGCAAAAAAAAAATCAAAAACAAATCAAAACAAATAAACAAAAAAAACAAAACAAATAAAAAAAAAAACAAAAACAAAACAAAACCAAACAAAAAAAAAACAAACAAACAAATCAAAAAAAAAAACAAAAACAAAACAAACAAACAAAAAAAAAACAAACAAACAAATAAAAAAAAAAACAAAAACAAAACAAACAAACAAAAATAAAAACAAACAAACAAATAAAAAAAAAACAAAAACAAAACAAAAAAACCAAAAAAAAAAAAAGGGGATTAAATTAAAAAAAAAAAAAAAAAAGAAAAACAAACAAAAATAAAAACAAACAAACAAATAAAAAAAAACAAAAACAAAACAAAAAAAACAAAAAAAAAAAAGGGGATTAAATTAAAAAATAAAAAAAAAAAAAAAAATATATTCCCCTAGTGGCGCCTGGCCAGGACGCCGGAGCCACGGCCTAGGCGCCTGGTCAGGACGCCGGAGCCACGGCCGGGGCGCCTGGTCAGGACGCCGCCGCCATGGTGGCGGCGTCCTGGCCAGGCGCCCTGGCCGTGGCTCCGGCGTCCTGGCCACGCGCCACTACCATGGTCGAGGCTTCTCCACCAGGCGCCGTTACCACGGTGGCGGCGTCCTGGCTAGGCGCCACAACCACGGCATGGCCTTTTGGCTAGGCGCCAGCCACCATTTCGTCCTTACGATGCGTTACGAACCTCGTTTTCCGATGACGACGGCGATTCTCCGGTGATCCTCGGCGATCCGGTGCTGCTCCACATTTTTTTAGTGCGAAAAATTTATCTTCGGTTAAAATTATAAAAAGGGCAAATTTGTCAAAAAATTATAAAATGTGGGCTTTATGTAGAGATTTGCGGGCGATGAATAACAAGTCCCAAAAACTCCCCCCTCCCTCCCTCAACCCCCGAAACCACCCCCTCTTTTCTTCCACCCCCAAAACTGACACCCTTGGGCAGTTTCGGGGGTGGGAGAGGGGAGAGGGGCAATTTTTGGGGGTTTGGGAAGAGAGGGGGTTGTTTTATGAGGTGGAGAAAGGAGGGGCGGTTTTCGACGTGGAGAAAGGGTGTCCAATCGTTTTTGAGGTAGGGAAGGAAGGGAAGTTTTCCGATAGGAAAGGGTAGGGAGGGGCTTGGGGTGGTGGTTAGGGATGGCAATTGGTAGGTTCTACTAATACCCATACCTTGATTTTTTTATCCATACTCATACCCTACCCAAACCCGGATTTTTTCATCCATACTCATACCCTACCCGAACCCTTAGGGTCTAAAATTTTTAGACCCTTACCCGGACCTTAGGGTTTAAAATTTTAGACCCTTACCCGGACCCTATGGGTTTAACAAGTCTGGGTAGGTATAGGGTCCAATTAGGGTTGTTTACTTTTATTTTCCCCTAATTTTTAATCTTTTTTTTTTAGTGTCGATTGCATATAGCACGCAAAAAAAAAAAAAAAAAAAAAAAAAAAAAAAAAAAAAAAAAACAAAGCCATGAGAGAACATTAACAATTAATTTGAGGAAATTTTGAGTTTTGATACCACAAAAACACCCTATTTTGACTTTTGCTACCTATCTAAAATTTTATTTTATTTTGCTACCTCCAAAAGTTATAACATATATTTTTTGCTACCACTTAACAGAATTCGTTAAGGTTTTGTTAAGTGGGACCCATTTTTCATTAAATAATGATTTAATTTATTGAACAAAAATTAAAAACTTAAAAAAAATAAATAAATAATCCCAGCCACTGTACACCCCATCAGGCGTCAACCACCCCTCCACCCCCCCCCCCATGCCGGCTGCCGGCGCACAAACGATCTCCCGGCACCGGCGACCCTACCCCTCCCCTTTCCCACTCTGTTTGCCCTACCAATTTCTTACCCTTCGACATTGGTGCTTTTCAATGCGCTAGGTTTTCGATTAGATGCGAAATTGGTGGCGATGGTGGTATTGCGGACTGTGATTGATTGTCTGTGGCGTGCAAATAAAATGATGGTGTTGCCGGTTACTGCATGTAGTGGCCTGAGGTGGGCTGTGACGGTTGATGTTCGCTGCTGCTGGGAAGCGGGGGCGTAGCGGCTGATTGATTGTAGGTTGTTGCGGGGGTCTGCGCGGTGGTGTTTGCGATTGTAAGGTGCAGCTGGTGGCATTGTTGTGCGGCTCTGTGATTGTGCCACTGTGGTGGCTACTGATTATTGTTAGTGTTTGGTCAGGTGGTTTGAAGAGAAGCGTTTAGGCAGGTGGTTTGGTGAATGCTTGGTGCACTGAGGGGTGAAGCAAGGTGGAGTTGGTGTTGTTGTGGTTGGTGTGTGAAGGTGGAGTTTGGGCGCCAGCAGCAGGCACGGGGAGGGGGCTGGCAATGAGAGTGGCTGGAAGGTGGCTAGAAGGAGGGAAGGGTGGCTGGAAGGTGGTTGGACGGTGGCTAGGCTCTACTAACGGAAATAGTAACCAATTCTGTTAAGTGGTAGCAAAACATGTGTTTTTTTGCTTTTAGGTGGTAGTAAAATAAAATAAAATTTTAAATGGGTAGAAAAAGTCAAAACAGTGTACTTTAGTGGTAGCAAAACTTAAAATTTCCTTAATTTGACAAATTATACAACAATTATAAAATTGACAATGTGGATGGTTGCTTAAGACTCGGCAAAATGAAATGCGGTGAAGTATTGAAGTTAAGGACTTGTTGCTCTGTTTGGAAATTGGAACTTTGGACCAGTGAAACAAAATGTGGGATATGCGGCAAGTCAGCTATAATCTCCTTACATACTTAGGGTATTACAAGTATCATTTGTTTTTGTTTTTTTTTTTTCAATTTACTAATTAAATTAGGCAGGTCTAAGTACGGGTTTGGGTTTGGCGGGTCCTCGGGTAGGGTCTAGGTCTGAATATATTGTACCCGGACCCTTACCCTACCCGATACCACCTATACCCATACCCATATTTTAGGATAGGGTCCGACAGGGTCGAAGCAAGGTCTTGGACCCGTTGCCATCCCTAGTAGTGGTCTGGTGGGGGAATGGGAGGGGCTGGGGTTATCGAAATTTTTTAGTATTTGGATCAATCACGACTTGACATGTGTCTGGTAACCTGATATAAAAAGTTATTGACTTTTGTTCACCAGTTTAGGACTGTTAGAAAGTCGTATTTATTCCGAAATAATCGAAAGTTGGTATTATTTAAAGAAAATCGGTTAAAGTTAAGATTATTAAAACCAATTTTTCCTTAATTATGTCAGTATTGATATCCATACATTTGAAGTCATACAATGCTAGTAATTGATACGGAATTATTAGATCCTCCATTAGCTAAGGGGGACCATGCGGCAAGATTTATCAATGTCAACGGCAAAATTCCCGGGCACCAACCATTTAGTTTCCGGTTACCTCAATATGTGCAGTTGATTGCTCCAATTTTACTTAATTGGTTTCATACTATATTCTTTTTGTTCGTATAATTATGAAAATATGTAAATGTTGACAAGAAGCCAATAACCACCATCCATGATCATTAATAATAACTAAACAAATACAAAGTCAACATGTAAAATTTCTCATAAAGATAATGTAATCAAACTGCCTTGGGCAATTTTTAATTTCACAAACAAATTCGGTTTCAATAAATCAAGAAATACAGCAATCTTTCAAACACTAAATAAAGGCTAAATGGAAATGAGATTTAAGATACTTGTGAAGAAAAAAAAAATCTTTAGTTTGATCAAATAAGTTATCTTCTACGAGTAAATGTACGACATTTGGCAACATGATAAGATTAACCCATGACCCGGAGGAAGGAATCCCAAACAGCACCAATGGCAAATACTAGAGGCAAAACAAAGTGGGATCGGTAAGACATCCTTGGAGCATCACTCTTAACGGGGGCTGCTTTAGGCGGTGGAGGGGGCTTCTCGATTCTGACAGACAACTTCATGCCACCAAAACAGAATCCTTTTCCACTGACGAAGTAGCGGTGTCTGGTTACATTAAGTGGAACCACATCCCTTCCAGCTCCTGTAGTCCAGTTTGCCATAGGGTGATCGGTGTTGCAGTTTTCATAGTTAGTCTTGTTCACCTCAAGGACATCCATCTGGTTCCGGTCATACACAAAAACTAAACAGTGGAAAGAAGAAACAAGTTAATGATTAGCTTTTACACACTACTGCACTATGTGACACAAAAACAAGGAAAACAGGGAAATGAAACTCAAAACAGTCAGGTTATAAGGAGTGGAACCACGTCATAATTAACAAGCTATGTTAAGACACAAAAGGCAAAACCATAATCATATTTTTTTTGTTTCAAAATCCAAAGTCTGACTTGCCATTCAGTATTGGGTTGAGGTAAATAATAATGATAAATTCAGTACATATAGTGATAATAAACCAAATTGGAAATGATATTAAAGTAAACAATAGAAAAGTATTGCTTATAGTACGACTTTCCTTCAAATTTGACAATTAATTTACTCCGTAAATCATACACAACTCCAAGCAATACATTGGTAGATTCTTATTTCAAGATCTTTTAAAGCATTTAAGTTTTACCATTATATGCATTTTTTTTTTCTCCACTATACTTTTTGTTGAGGGTTGGAATTTAAAATAAAAGGAAAGAAAGAGGTATAATCTTCAAAGGGAAAAGTATCAAAAAGTATCAGTACTTTGAAAAATGATAGCCTCAGGCCTTACACCTTTTTTGAAACTTCGGGCCTTATACCTTAACAAACACTCAAATGACTTTGTAGGTCCCCGCTAAACCACTATAACTTCATATTCTTATGCAGAGATTGTATTTTATACTAAAACTTGTACGCAGTATAGTGCTTTTACAAGGGCCTCGGCCCCCTTGGGATAAAACAAAGCTTCATCCCAGGTTAAGAATTACTTAGAGAGATGATTACTTTCTGACAGAAAGAAATCATCTTGAATATTGGAAGATAAATAAAAGGGGAGAGCCTGATTACCATCCAAAGAAGAAGATTTTATGAGATTCCTCATGAATCCAAGTTATCAAAATGGAAACCCACTTCCAGGATTTAATACATCAAAAAGATAAAAATAAGAAGTTAAGGCATTTCAGATGTCTCAGATGGGAGACAAGATCCAGCATATGTGATCAGCTTTGATTCAAATAATTAGTATTAAAATTCTGATTCTGATAACCTCGATGGAATTTTAAAAATTAGACAGATGACTTGTATGTGAAGACGATTAGGGTCTCAGTCAAAGAGATTTTACAATCCATTATAAAATAAGTTAAAACATTTTTAAATAACTAAGTTTGTAAAAATCTGTCTGCTACACTAGTCTTGAATGTGAATCTTTCTGAGTTCAGGTATCAGTATTCTTATACTTCATTAAACACAAATCAGGACCACCACACGAAAAATGGCAATACATATTGATTATTCCAGGCTGTATTTTCTAGCCCACACAATATTCCCACTAAATCCTCATCAACTCAATTTTAATATTGTTGGCAAAAGATTATTAGATGCCTCAAGACCATTAGATATTGTGGCTTTTGACAGATCATAAGACCTCGGCAACGCGGTTTACTTGTATTGTATCTCTCTTCCATCAACTATATCTCCAATCTAGCGCGTGTAGTTTGGATGATCAAGCTGATCAACTATATGTCTATTCTAGTATTGTCTTTTTAAGGTGAATCTCACTAATAAAAAATTTGAACTCCCGACCTCCTCACCACAAAAGTGACATATCCTAATATCAGCTAGCGATCTAGCATGAAACAATTCGTCTAACGGTGAAACCATATAACAGGAAGACACAAAAATAGCAAGTAGATAGCTAGAGTAGCTAATCTAGCTACGTTTTCTTCTTATATCTCTCACTCCCTAATCTCAAAAACAAATTGTCAATGGCTCGACTTCTACAACTAGCAGCCTCAAAGGCACATCCAATATTGCTATTACCCATTGCATAATCTACATTTACCCATTGCATAATCTACCTACATGAAACAAACATCGAAACAAATTAAACTTTCACCCATTGTCTTCGGCCACATTAGTATGGGTAATCTACTCACTAGTGTTGTGCCGTAAGATTAACGTAGCATATCATGGGAATTAATTATATGATTAATCGTACCAAATCAATTTAATAACTAATCCCACATGAAAATGACTTGTAATCGAACATAGTTAACTTTGACCATCATTAGTTATAGATGTCAAAACTAAAAATTACTATGAAATAAGAATCTTAAAATTAAAGTGCAATATAATTAAACGCTCCCAAAATTTCATGTTTTATTCACAGAACTCCAAATGCAACTTAAATTATTTTGACACCCAACATTAATTAACCCAAAAATCCATTCATTTAACTAAACTATTAAAAGGGTATTTATCATTTTTGCTAAAATTAGAAATTTCTTTCAAGTTCAAATAAAAAAATAAACCAACACAATATAAAACTTGAAAAAAGCAACATAATTAAGATCTAAACAACAAAAACACTGAAATGAACACAAAATAAGATCCAAACAACAGATCTAAACACAAAACAGAAAACAAAAAAGTAGAGAGAGAAAGAAGAGAGAGAAATTACATAGCCAATCTCCAAGGTAAAAGTGCTTATCACTAGCCCAAACAGTGTAATTAACATTGGAAGTCCAACCCTTATTTCCTCCAACAATGTAACGTTTAGCAAATACATGAGGCACCATAACCATCACCAAGGCGCATGTTAGCGCCATTGCTAGAATGCTTGACTTCATTGAGCTTGTTTTTCTCTCTCTAAGTTTGAAATTTTTTGATGAACTTTTTTTTTTAGCTAGTGATTAAGCTGGTACTAGAAACTGATTCTGCTAAAAATATGGGTTCCAGGGGTGGGACTTCGGTCTGACAGTTCGGTTTGACCTCACTTTGAAACTGTTTCGGTTTGAAACGGTTCGGGTTAAAACGGTTTCATTTAGACGGCGGGTCGGTTCAGTTCGGTTTTGATTAGTCACAGGTTGGTTCGATTTCGGTTTATTTTTGTACGATTTAAATTCGGTTCGGGTCATAAACGGTTCGGTTTATAAACAGTTCGGGTCATAATCAGATCGGTTAGAAACGGGTCGCTTCAGGGGCGGATTTACTCGGGTTAATGCCGGTTCAGTTTTTAAACGGTTCGGTTAATAATCGGGTCGGTTTGAAACAGGTCGGTTTAGGGGCGGGTTTACTCGGGTCAATGCCCGTTCGGTTTATAAACGGTTCGGGTCATGATCTGACCGGTTTGAAACGGATCGGTTCAGGGGCGGTTTTACCGGGTCAACGTCGGTCCAGGTTCATATCGGTTCGGGTCATGAACGGATTATTTTGAGATGGGTCGGTTCAGGGGCGGGTTTACCCGGGTTAATGCTAGTTCGCTTCATATCGGTTCGGATTATACTCGGTTTGGTGCTAAAATCGTTCGGGTTAGTTTGGTAATCAGTTAAATTGGATCGGGTTGAAATCGAGTTCTAAAAAGTGGTTTTGACCAGTTAGCGCGTTTTGTTTTATATCAAGTTGGGACTAGTATTTCCATTTCATTAGCGGGTCGGCATAGGTTGGTGAAAAAAATAATGGATCGAGTAGAAATTGGGTTTTAAGAGATTTTTGACCGGTTAGCTATTTTCGTTTTATATAAAGTTGGGACTTCGTCACTTTATTTTCAGACATCGGATTATATACAATTACACAAATCTTCATTTATTCAATTATTCTATATCATGTTAATATGTTATGTTTCAAGTTTGGTTATACTCTTGTTGTTGTTTATTCGATATTATCATATTAGTCTATTACAAATTTATAATGTATTAATGTATTATTGTTTCATTATTAAATATATATTATTAGGTTATCAGCTTCTTGTTGGATTGTTTTAGATATCGTGTCATGACCATGTTTTGATGAGTTGCTACTTTGAATACGATAAATCGATTCAGATATCAGATTATATAGAATTTCAGAAATTCTCATTCATTCTATATCATGTTAATGTGTTATGTTTCAAATGTGGTTATAGTCTTGTTGTTGTTTATTAAATATTAGTCTATTACAAATTTATAAGGTATTAATGTATTATTGTTTCATTATCAAATATTATTAGGCTATCAGCTTCTTGTTTTAATTGTTTTAAAGATCGCGTCATAACCATGATTTGATGAATTGGTACTTTGAATACGATAAATCGATAATTGATATTGTAATAAACTAATAATTTAATGTTACGGAACTATATTTGGATGTTTAATTAAAATCACGATTATTCAATTTCCCATTAGTCTAATAAAGTAATAATTGACAATTGTTTGTAACTATTCCATAATTTTGGTGTTTAAGTTATATTGCTGAATTACTCTGTTGTCTTACCCTCTCTAATCACCTTTTAAGATTACGTGCCTACAAGGCTGCAACATATATATGTTGCAACTTGCAAGTTAAAGAAAACGGGTGGGGAAGTAGAAGTATTCAATTAGATCGATCATCAACTGTTTTAAGTTTTAATAATCAGATACATTTATCGATTATCTATACATACCAATGATAGTATGATACCAATCGTACCATACATTATTATTTATTACATATACTGATATACATATAACTAATATACATTAAATATGTCATATTGAATCAATTCCAATTTCCAAACATTTGTGTTTCTTACAATTAATAAGTTACATAAAGTTAAGAGTACAGTAGTGTTTTTATTAGTACGTAGCTATGAATAAAAAAACCATACTATCCAAATCCATTATCCCATGATCCGTGTCACCGTCTTATATTAAATATCAGCCATTGATTTGCATGTCATCTAACGGCCTATCATCGCACACATTCCAATTCACGATCCGTGTGTTTTCTTTTCCACCAATCAGATCACTCTTACCATCGTCTCTTTAGTACTCTTTTTGATTTCTCTCTCGTTTTCTTAATCCTCTTCTGTAATATTATCAATAATATGCTCACTGCTCTCTCGTTTTCTCTCTCATCTCCTCTTCCTTCTTCCTTTCTTCTTCTTCTTTCTTCTCCCTTCTTCCGTCTATGTTCTCCTTTCTTCCATCTCGTTTCTCCGTCTCCGTCCACCGACACCACGCACGACGGTTTTTATGGTCAAATTCAACCACGAAACTCTAGATCTAGTTGTTTCATGATCAAATTTGGCCTTTTAAAACCAAATTTGAGGCCAAATTCAGGATTAATATATAAGGTGTTTTCGTTCTTCCTTTTTTTATTTTCTGTTTTTCTTTTTAATTTTTTTTCAAGTTGTGGGCAACGGAGGGGGCCGAGTTAGGGTGGGTGTGGCGGCGGTTAGACTGGGTTCGGGTGGGTGGGGAGGGAGGGAGTTTTATGGTGGGTGAGCAATTAGAGTGAGTTGGGGGGTTTCGAGGATGTTGGGTTTCGTGGGGGTGGGTGGGGTGGGGTTACGGTGGGTTTGGGTTTTTTTTTCGAATTTTTTGTATGGGGTGGGGTGGGGTGTGTTACGGTGACGGTGGTGGGTGTGGTTGGGGTTGGGTCTGTTTTTTTTTTTTTTTTTTTTTTTTTTACAGTGACGGTGGTGGGTGGGGTGGGGTGGGGTTTGTTAAGGGGGTGGGGTGGGGTACGTTACGGTGATGGTGGTAGGTGGGGTGGGGTATGGGTCTGGGTTTTTATTATTTACGGTGACGGTGGTGGATGGGGTGGGGTAAGGTTTGGGTCTGGGTTTTTTTATTTACGGTGGGTGGTGGGGTGGGGTGGGGTGGGTTACGGTAATTATGGTGGGTGCGGGGGTGGTGTTAGGGTGGGTCTGGGTTGACGTTGGTGGGGTGGGGGTGGGTTACGGTAACGGTGGTGGGGTGGGGGTGGGTTACGGTAACGGTGGTGGGTGGGGGGTAGTGTTAGGGTGGGTCTGGGGTGACGGCGGGGGTGGTGTTAGGGTGGGTTACGGTGGTGGGTGGGTGGAGGGTGGTTGGATTGGGTGGGTGGCCAAATTTTTTCATTTTTTTATTTAATTTATAACTCCTAATTTAGTTATACAAGAATATAATTTTAATTTTATAATAGCAAAAAAAATTACAAATTTAAATCAATAATTATATGTAAAAAAAATTGTACTGTTAAATTACATTAAACATCAAATATATTTCGTGGAATTCTAACAAATTGTTAAAGGCTGTAAATAGTTCAATTTGAATGGAACGGGTTGTAAAAGGTTCGGTTTAAATAGTTTGTAATCGGATCGGTTTAAACGGGTTGCGGTTTGAAAATAGTTCGGTTTAAACGGTTTAATGGGTTATAACAGTTCGGTTTAAACGGTTAGCGGGTTGTAAATGGTTCGATTTAAACGGTTTTTTTCCTACGGTTTAAACGGTTTCGGTTTATAAACGGTTCGGTTTAAACAGTTAGCGGGTTAACATTAATCGGTTCAAACGGTTTCGGTTTATAAACGGTTTGGTTTGTTATTGGTTTATGGTTCGTAACGGGTTAACATTAATTGGTTCGGTTCGGTTTCGGTTTGACATTATACGGTTCAGTTCGGTTTTCGGTTTAAAATTAGCGGGTTATAAACGGTTCGGTTCGTGATGGTTCGGTTCGGTAACGGACGGTTTCACGGTTCGGTTTGAAAAGTCCCACCCCTAATTCCTGATAATTTTGGTGGGGTTATAAATAATCAATGGTACTTGTATTATTTTTTATACTTTTTTTATTTAAATATTTTGTTTCTGTTTTTGTTTTTATTTTTTGGGTTTGGAAGAGTGAAATCTAGAGTGACAGGTTGGAAAGTTATGTTGAAGATATCTAACTCCCACATGGGGTAGATAATTTGTATGTTTGTTTATGTTTATATGGTTTTAATTTTAAATTAATTAATAAAAGTATGAATTTAATTTAAGAGAATAAATGAAAGTGAAAGGAGTGGGAGTTAGCTGTTATGGTGGCCCTTGTGGGCGGTGACCGGCGGTGGCCGGTGGTCGGCAGGTGGTTGTTTGATGGGGAGAGATGTGGGAGGAGACTATTTAGAGATAGTTAATCTATATTAGTACTAATCATAGTAATGTTTTCATTTGAAATCTTATAACTATTTATAGTTTCAGGGGATATTGTAAATTATTTATAACATATAAAGATTTTAAAAAATTGTTCTAATTTGAAAATTGATTTGAACCGAATTGGAATTCATAACCGATTATAAATCGAAACAACCTGTTATTGACATAATTGGTGAAAAAGTGAAACAAGTTCCACTTAAATCACTATTGACCCGAGTTTAATTTACTTACCATGGTATAGCATAGAAATTATTGATTTAGTTGTACAATTGTTTTATCTTTCAAGTTTGGATTAATGACATTTTAATGCATTTTGTTCCAATCATAATCTTTTCTTCATGGTTAGTTTATAATAAGCAACTACGTATTAATAGTTGGTCAAATCATGAAAAGTGTAATTGTATTGAACTAACCAATTAATAATCCAGCCCTACCCAAATCCAAAATGATTAGACTTGAAATTTTATCCAACTTGATTAATCTGACCCAAACCTATTTTTACTAACTCATAAAGAATAAAATGACCCGACTTAATACGAACCCAACTAAACTCGACCCGAATTTGATCTGAAGGTTAGATTGATTCGACATAACTCAACTCGAATATGACCTAAGACCCGACATGCAACCAATCGAACTTAACCTAAATACTAAAATAACCTATATATAAGAAGAACACAATTATGTGAGGTTTTGTTTAATTCTTATCAATGAATATTTTAAGAAATTCCTTCCGTTATTTGTAGGGGACAAGCTCCCCATTATATATGTGTGGCGTTTTAGAAGATTTTATATAGGAAGCATAGATAATGTGTTTTGGGGTGAATTAATTATTAGATTGCAAAGAGAAAAATAATAAAGAATGTACGAGTAAGGATCACAATAAAAATAAATTGAGGTTTTCATCTTTCCTCCAATGTGTATAGGGCCTCCAAATTAAATGGGCTTGATGAGGAGAGTTAGAAGATAAGGGAGCCGCAAATTCTTAGCTACACCCTTGTGTAGCTAAGCTAGTTGCACCAGCTTCATATATATATATGTGTAGCTAAGCTAGCTGCACCAGCTTCATATATATGTGAATATATAATACTTTAAAAATGAACATACATTTTTTTTTTTCTTTCATTATATCTTAACTCTCTCTATCTCTCTCTTCTCTTTTCTTACCTCTATTAATTTTCTCTCTCATCGGTTTTCTACTAATTTTGAAACTTTCCCTATCCTTTATTATCTCTATAAAAATGAGCATGTAAATACCTCACTTTCCTTCAATCATTATTCTTCTTTGTCCTTCTACTTCGAGCATTCTCCAATTCGTCACTATTGTAGCATTCTCCATCGTCATCGTATTCGTTGCGATCGTGAATCGTGAGGTATGTTGAATTTTTTTTTTTTTTTTTTTTTTGTGGTTTTATAAATTCGTGAATGTTATAATATTGTTGATTTTTATCAATTTTGCATTTGTGATTCTTAATCTATCATATTATAGATCGATAATTATTTTCTCTATGATGAACCAAGATAAGATTTAAGGTGGATATTTAAATTTTAGAGTTAAAATAATTACAATCGAACTTGTGTATAATTTCCGTAAAAAAAAAAAATTGAACACGTAGTACTTTAAAAAGGAATATGTAGTACAAATGAACTTTTAATACACTAAAAATGAACATTTAGTAAAGAAAAGATAGACATATTTTAACGATTTATTTTATCTTTATTTTCGTTAATATATATAAAGAATTTGATATTATATGAATATATGAAAATCATATTCATTTTTAATATACTAAATGTTCATAATTTTTTTTGACGTGTTCATTTTAGATAATAAATGTTCATTTTTTTAAAAGTGTTAATTTTTATGTAATGTTTACTTTATTAGGTATGGTCTAGGTATTCAATGATTGTATGATAAATGTTGATAAATGTTCATTTGTAATATACTAAATGTTCATATTTTTTATACGTGTTCATTTTTTATTAATAAATGTTCATTTTTTTTAACGTGTTCATAAATTTTTTTTTAGGCCGTTGTCTAGCAATTCTATGATTATATGATAATCATGTTCATTTTTAATTTACAATATGATCATATTTTTTTTAACGTATTCACTTTTTAATACTTAATTTTCATTTTATTTACATGTTCATTTTTATTATTAAGTGTTCATTTTTTTTACTATATGTTCATTTTTTTTACTATATGTTCATTTTATAGGTCGTGATGCATCTAATTGGTGGGCGTAGGTTGTGAAGGACAAAGGTCAAAGGAAATAGGGAGTCCAACATCAATCATCATTAGGCTCATCAAGCCATAACTACTTTTGGAGATGCATATTTAAACTTGCACGTACATACAAAAATTGTACTTACACATTACACTTAAATTTGGTTTTTTAATTTCAAAAATTGTAAAATATACAAATTTAGAAACAGAACTTTATTTAATTACATATATTTAATTTCTCGAAAAAAAAAAATTACATATATTTAACTTCTACTCCCAACTTATACTTTCTTTGTTTTTTTAGTTCACGTTTTATCTTTAGCACTATTCACACACTTTTCTTTGACCGTGAACATAACAATAACAACAGTAGAAAAGGACAAGAGGTTAGTAATAATGCGGCTAATGCCTAAGATTGTGTTCACTTGGATTGTTGCGCACGATGCGCAACTTGATTCTTTGGAATTGAATAACTAACTTTGGGTCCGTTCTAAGCTCCACTAGCAATGTTATGTCACCACAAATATTCTTGTAAAATATGTTATTATTATACAGTTATTTTTGCTTACAAAATTTGTTCAAAGTGATTACAAGTATTATAATGTACAACAATAATTATATCCCTTTTCAAATTAGTAGATATAACATAATCCAAATGTTTAACCTAAACAACACAAATCAACGTTTATGTAAAAGTATAATCAGAACTATCTATGCCCGCATGTAGCTACTTTCTCCGTTTTTTTAGTTGCATCACTTTCCTTTTTAACTAATAAATTCTCTCTATCTCTCTCCTACCACATAGGCCCCATTTATTGTTTCTCTCTACTTCAAAAATTGTCTAGAAATTCGTAAAAACAAAAGTGATGCAACTAAAAAACACGGAAGTAAAAATTTCAAAGGACACTAGTATTCCACAACCCTAATGAGCTGACCATCATGTTGAGATCGGCCAAACCGGCAAACCCAACCCATTGCAGACATCTTCTACGCCAAATACTCAAATAGGGAAGAAACAAACCAGTCCTTGAGTAATGTCATTTTCGATCACAAAACATTCCTTTCCCTAGTCCCACCTAAATTCCTCAAATTAATGAATAATTGCATTAAACTTCATCTTTACAACTCATAATAAAACAAGCAGAAGCTTTGTCCTGCAGGTAGTTTAGTACCATATTTAGGATGGTCACAGATTCAGGCGTTCAGCCAAACTAGCTTACATAAACCAGCAGATCAAACTTATCCTCCTTTGCTTTCATTACCTTTAAAGCCACGTATCACACCCCATTAGCTTAAGCTTATTAATAGACAATGACACTGTTTTTCAAGCTTAAACAGTTAGTCGGAATTTGGCCTCCTGTCCAGAGAACTAAACAATCATACATGCTGATCTCAAACTGTGAACCTGTCTGCTGTATGTCACCAAAACAATGAACGGTCTGAATGAACAACCTTCTAGAAATGCAATGCGACAAACAATTCTATACACAAGTCCTGTTACAAACAGAAAAGAACTTAACCATACCATGACTGAAAACTAACAAAGTACAGATTGCCTTCTCTTGGGGCTACACTAATGGTTCATGAGTTCATCACTATATCATTTTTTTCCCGGTCAAATTAACACACTTTCCACCCATGAGGGAAATTAAGGCTTTCATAGATAAATATGCAGAACCAAATGATGTTGGTCATTAAGGAAACGGTTACACAGGGGTCAAGGGCTATACAAGCTAGTGAGCTATACATTAAACCCATACATAATCATGCCCATCGAATTGTTCATAGTTCACATTCATACAACAACCAAAACATGCTGAGTTCGATTGTATAATCTCATCGCACTCTAGGAAAATGAGGATAAGTTCAATCCAACCTTCTTAATAAGTAATCAACTTGAACCTCTTTTGTTAAAGGCATAATCCATTTCCCATACAGATTGGCAACCAAACTAGGTTTGATCTTGAAAGCTGGGCATGACTCATCACCAATAGCATCTGGGTTGACAGGCACCTCAAGTCCAAATGTTTTGGCTTTCATTTCAACTCTTCTCTGTACAGCTAGCTCCACTGCCTCATATGTCAGCAAATTCATCAATTGATCTTTGTCCTGCAAGGTTGAGTATCAACATCAGAGAAGAGCTTCTAGTGCGCCAACAAGCCAAACTAGCTACAAATTATTTACTTGTTAATGTATAGATATAAAAACTCTTACTTGTGCCGCAATAGCAGCTGTATAGATATCAGGTGAAGCTCGAAACTTTGCCTCTGCCACATACTTGCCATAATGTATTCTTTTAGAGAGTGCCTGCAAGGAAGAAGATGAACTTAACAGAACTGTTCAGCACTATGTCCTCACAGAAAGAAGTACAAAACTACAGATATATTCATTCATATTTTACTGAAGGTTCTGTGACCAATGCCACAAATCCTTCAAGGCAAATTTTATAATTGCTGCAGTTTGTCACTAAAAAAACCAGTTCAGTGCTTCAAGTCCCAAAATTAAATTAGTGATTTACCAGCAATCTGATCATTAAATATACAGAAGTAGAGTTCATGCCAAGCTTCTTATAGCAGTGCAGAAACTTTGCATGACTAAAATATAGCAGCCAAAAGTAGAGATGATGAGCTTGTAAAGGTCCTGGCCTTGGTGATATATGCAGACTAAAATCTTAATAATCGAAGCTAGTAGAGTAGTTCAACCTAGATGAACATGTATTCCATATACATCCCTTAGAGCAGGTTAAGTAAAAGTGTGTACTAAGGTGTAAATCTGTTCACTTATCTGTGTACTCCAAAGCTAACAGCTGGAGGAAAAGGAGAGATTAAAAGACGCAGTCCACAGGGATTTTTTTTAAAAGTCTCCAGGCAACACAAGCATTCTGTTAATAGAAAAACAAGAGTACTATTTATGCAGAATACGCTTTGGACTCTCAACATTGCATTGCTTAGCGAACATTAACTTACAATATATACACTGATTAGAAGGTAAAATTGAAGCATCCCTCCCATGGGAAAAAGTGGGGAGGATGTGCAGGAAAACTCCACATTTGAGATGTACAAGTCTCTTTCTCAATGGTTATTATGATTAGAAGACACTCCATCCCAATTACGAAAGGTTAACAAAGGTAAGGTTGTAGTACACATAGACCTCCCTAGGAAGTAGGACTTCCAATGCAGAATCTTTCCATGGCAGTTGTTAATGTGGTCAGACTACTGGGAAAAGGGAACTACCAAAGTTCTCCAAACAAGATAATACAACAGATATGAGCCTCAGATTACGATGCTGTTAGGACAATAACATAGCTCAATTAGAAATAAAATTATGCAAGAAGAGAAGGTGGCAGAGTACTACAGCAACCTATTACCAGCAACGCATGAATCTAGTAACTTAAAGTGCGTGTAAATGTCCATTTCTCCTAAAATTAAAGTGAAAACTCAGCTTACTGTAAAAACTTTCTTTTGATTATATTGTCACACCAAATCATGATAAATAAATGCAACTATAGTTAAGGTAGATAACTAGCTTAAGTATTCATACCTGCAAGCATATTGTGTCGCAAGTAGCAGAAGAACCACAATTTCCGTCGTCTCCATCCTTTACAAGTCTTGGCAGAAGGTCATTGAAGTACATATTCCAAATTAATTTGTTTATATTAATTGAATCAGCATGAGGATGGAGAACCTACATATAAAGCAGCAGTAGTTGACATAATCAGAACAAATGACCAACACAATTCTACCAATAAACAATTCATAACTTTTAAATTTGCATCAGACAGCATTACACTACACATATAAGATCTTAAGATCACATCCATCGTATCTGAAAGAGAAAGGGAAGCTTATATAGTATTTCTCTTGATTAATGCATCTTCTATAAACAATTTTTTTGTACTACCATCTAAAAGCATAGACACTAAAGACTTGAAAGACATTGTATGAATTTCAAGCTAATAGTTGCATCTTCTTTATTCTGCCATGCCCTATACTTCCATTTTCTAAAAATTTAGGGTTTTTTTTTTTTTCCTGTGTTTGACTGATCAGAGCAAGCAGCATTCTAAAGTCTCATTCATTTTCTATCCTTTAATATAATATGAATCAAGATTCTTTAATGAATTTCTTCACAAGTAAAAAGTGGACGGAGAGTTCACTGGTGAATATCCAGCAAAGTACTTAGAAATTGATGATTTAACCATTTAAGGGGAAAAACAAGTCTTTGTTTCCTCTTCAGGCTCCAGGCGGCTTCTGTTGACTCCCATCCAGTAACTCCCACATCAGCAACAACATCAACCTCTCTCTCTCTCTCTCTCTCCCACGCAGAATTTTGCTGATTTCATTTACACATAAGTACAAAGCTGATTTCATTTACACATAAGTACAAACACAGAGTATTCAGGACAGGTATTAGTGTATTACCATTCATAAGTGAACAGTATACTAAGTAGATGGACCAGTGAATTCACCAACCTAAGAGATAAAATATTAGGCATCACGCTATATTTAAGATACAATTATGTTGAAGATATTTGTCTCAAGGCTTTTATTATGCTTCGTCAGTAAGAATGTTATGATCTATCCTGACATTCAAAAGCTAAGTTAATATCTCTTGACAAAAGACACAAAACAACTAGTTCAACTACTACAGGCTACAAAATATTCGAACAATAGCTTCCACTATGATACAGTCTGTTAAAGCAAAGCCTATTTAAGTTTAGTCTACAAAAGCTGATTTAAAAGCCTTTCTCACACAAGTATAAAGAAGCTGGCTTATTTTAGACCCCCTACAGATCTATATGTTGTCTCAAATGGAATATATTGACATCTAATAAAGTTACATGGTCAATCAAAAGGAAACTATTCAATCAAGAGCATGAGTTTAATATGACGTACTTCAATCCTAACATAACTTTTTGACAGGAAAAATGGATTATATTAACAATTAAAGTAGTATAAGCAAGGAGGAAAAGCTGTCCTCTCAAAATACCAAATTTACAGAATAACCCAATTTCGTCGAACTTCCCCAATAGTAAGTAGTAACACTTGTAAGCTCCAAACGCCTTAGTCCATAATGACACTGAATAAGTGACTTTGTTCCACCACAACTCAGAAGACAAAGAGCTTCAAGAAAAGACATGGGAGTTTATTCCAGGTTTCCAGGAACATATACCACATATTTGGCATGAAGGCAATGCAGATTGCACCATAGAAACCTCTCCTTACCAAGCCCCCAAAAATAAATCTGCAACCAATTCATAACCTCTAAAGGGAATACCCAAGACTCCTCATGTACAGCAAACAAACTACTCCAGAGGCACTTGTCATCTCATGTTGAAAAAAAAAAAGAGTGAACAAGACTACTATTAGCACTGCAAACAAGTCTGTCCCACCCACCTCAACCTATGTATTTGGAGCATGTCATCAGTGTTAATCTTCCATACTTAGTTTTGACTTAAAAGCTGGAAATTGAGGAGAGCAATTCAAGCAAACTAGTAAGATTTACATGTAAGAGAATCCGGATGAATCCCCCATCCACACCTTAGAATCTGTGAGAGCATTTGTGATAGACTCATGCTTGCTGGACTATCACACACACCTTTAACACAGAGTATAGAGGGAAAGGATCATATCCTTGATTGAAAATGTTGAAAATCAGGGATTTGTACAAGCTAGCAACTTTAGGATGCAATTGCCAATCTCTATTACTGACTTTAGGTCACCACTCTCATAATAGTGACTTGAGGTCACAAGTTCACAACTCTCTAAGGATTTACTCCAAATTTCTGCCTTCTACTTTTTTCCCCTCTCTCTATATATACTAAAGCTAAAGATTATTAACCTAATAATACTAGGCTTCCAAAACTGCCCCTCCTAAGATTAGTCTATTACAAAATCCTCCTCAATACCAAAATGAAGGTATGAAAAAACCACTGTCTGAACTTACAAGCCCTTTTCCAAAAGTTACCTAAGCTTATTGACCCTAATCTGAAATTAATTGAACTTAGGGGCCGTTTGGTTTGCACGGGGTAAACGGAATGGAATGAACAAAGGGAATGAAATGGAATGGAATGAAAATCCCTCAAATGTAGTATGTTGTTTGGTTGTAAAAAAACAATGGGAATCACTAGATTCACCACCACCACACCCACACACCCTCACCGCGTTTTCGAAGGCTGTGGTGGCTGGTTGGAGTGTTTGTGGTGGCTGGTTGGGGTCTTCGAGGAGGCTGGCCGGGACGACATTGCTGTCGGCGACGGAACCCAGCCCCCTAGCGCGCCTGACACCGACGGAACCCTGACCCCCTACCGCGCCTAACTCCGACTGCACCGCTACCGTGGTTGGTACTCTTTCTTCACTTTCTTCACTTTTCGAGGAGGGAAGGTAGTTTCAGGGGGCGACGAAGGGTTAAGGAGGGGCTGGTGCGACGTGGGGATGGCCGAGATTAGGGAATTTTTTCGAGGGAGTTGAGGGGATGGCCGGCGAGGAGTGGGGGAGTTGAGGGGATGGCCGGCGAGGGGTGGGGGAGGTGCGGCGAAGGGTAGGCGGTGGTGCGGTGGTGATGTGGGTAGGTTGGAGGGTGGTGGTATGGTGGTGTGGTAGTGGCCAAGGAATGGAATGGAAATACCTTGGGGGGTGGGGAATGAACTTGGAGGGATTTGGGGGAATGAAGGGGGAAAGGGGAAATGGAAAAGTGGCCTAACAAACAACAACAAAGGGAATGATTCCCCTTGATTCCCATTCCCTTTGTTGAATACCCCCAACCAAACGGCTCCTTAGTCTTAAATCAACTTGGGTAACCATTACCCGGACTTAAATTTCATATTTATTTTTAGAGTGAAAAGATCAAAGCCTTAGTTTTATTTTCTAGTCCATTAAAAGTCTTGTTTTCTTAAGTTTCATATCTTCCACCCTACACTCACAAATAAATCATACACGTTTAATTTTTTTTTTTTTATTAAGAATTTATGAATTTTTATTTTAATAAATAAAAAACCTAGCAGGATGGATGTCATAAATAACTGCATACAATTATTTCCACGTAAGTGACTACCAAGTTGTTCATCAAAAAGTAAAAGGATGAGAGGATGATGATGACTCCATAATTGCTTGTCATTCAATAACTAAATGTTAATAACAACATTAAAAAAAAAAAAAAAAGGGAGATACGTTAAAAATAATTCATTACCTGAGGATATTGCATAGGTGGCAATAATGGTTCAGGTAAATCCTCAGGAAAAAAAGGATGCTCATCTGGGCTCTTATATCTTCCCACCTAAATGCAAAGGGATAATAACAATTAGAAGTCAAGCACATTAATACATTTCTATCTAGTTATACTTGAGAACTTCAAATTTTATGATACCTGAGCATGAAGCTTTTCAGTTTCCTTAAGCATAAATTCAATCAAAGACCCATGAAAGCCATGCAAAGGGAACGCGTCAGGATTGTATGTGTCAGCATTGTAACAAAATTGCGATCTCTCTAGAAGACTAAATATGATACTATCTTCTTGCCGAATCAAGGAGTTCCGAATACCATCTAGGGTCAAGCTTTCACTCTCATCGATTCTTGTCTTAGACTGTACGCTACAAAAGTTGAAGTCTTAAATTAATTCACTAGGATTTCATTGATACTTCAAAAACATCACAATCAAGTCAGTAAGTTGTGCCATATATTTTCCTCCGTAAACATTAGTATGAGAACTTATATTTCCATTATGGTTATTCTCTGCCATCAGGCTCTTCCTTTACCCCCTGGCTCTCTCATCCAAGAGATATCCAACATTTTATATGCCTACTACTATGGCCTTAAAGTGTAATTTTAGAGAAGGATTTCCAAACATCTTAAAGCACATATGTTGGACGCTTGAATGACATCAGCCACTTTTGGTAAATCCTTTCAAAATAGTGGCACTACCATTTACCAACATTCTTTGATGGTACAGGTGTAGGGGTATAGGGTACACTACTAACAAACTGAGATTAGGGACAGCAGATAGGAAAATCAAAGGCTGCTAAATTTATAACAGAAATAAATTTTGCTAACTGGAAAGACCAGGGGAAAGTCCATCACGGTGTTTGTTTTAGACTTCTCCAAATTTTAATTGCATGAACAAATTTAGCAAGAGCTAGTAATTCAGTATGGTTACTTGTCACTTGTCAGCTTAATCAGACAGACAACTGTAGTAATTCTATAATTCGAAAGCACTCTGTTATTTTAACAAAATTATAGTTGTGTAGATTGTGTACAGCTTTTAAGCAAAGCATAGAACCATATTCTTCTGAGTAAATAAATCCTTTGCATAGGCATTTGGTGAGAATCAAGAGACTCCATAGGCAATTAAAGAGAATCAATATAATTCCATTGGGAGCTTTAAGCATAGAACCATATTATTCCGAGTAAATAAATCCTTTGCAAAGGCATTTGGAGAAAATAAAGAGAATCCAGTGGCAATTAAAGAGAATCAATATAATTCCATTGGGAGCTTTGGAGAAAATCAACACATACCAAAGGCGAATTGAAAAGAATCAATAGACTCCATAGGCAATTTGGAGATAATCTGTAGATTCCTTTTCTGGGGCAGGATCAATCATAGGACTCCTAATCTAGGCAGTGACTAGTCTGGAAGAGTTCATCTTCCATCTAATTCATGTCATTTTCTCTTAGGAACGCATTACAAAATGAGCCGATAAACCCTTTTCCCCCACATTCTCCAAAGGGGCTGTAGAAATTGTTTCAGAAAACAAACTTTTCTGTCTTATTTTCAACCAAAACAAGCCTAAATTTATTACATATCTTCCAACTTAATCAGCTAGTTACATCTTCTATTTGTGGAGATATAGGATCAAACCACCAACATTGGCTCCATTTCCAACCACAGGCAGCAAATTTAACCAGTTCGAAAACTATAATCTCCATTGACACAAACAACTAACCCAATTCCGAAAGACAAGCATCAATAGATTCAATAATCAGCCAGTACATATTAAAATATTCACACAACAACCCACTAAAGCCAAAAGTTGAAGCAAAAGACAAACATTAAATATATTTAAACTTCGAAGAATATGCCAAAAAAAAAAAAAAAAGTAAATTATCAAATCACCAAAAATAAATAGCAAAACAGAGCAAATAAAGCAATGTAATAGCAATAATTTCATCAAATAAATCACTAAAATAAAAGGGGAAATTATTTTTTTATTAAAAGAAAGAGCAGAAATGCTTTATACCCAGCAACAACTGAAGAAACGTTAGAGGATTGAATGCCCTTCATTGATGAATTTATCCTTCTGCAAAAGCTTAAGCTGCAATTTTTGCCAATTTGGTAAGGATAAAGATTAAAGGGTGTCCTTAATTTTTCTGGGTTAGTCCCAAAATAAGCTAGAGTTTGTGGGTTAGACATTAACAGTTTTGCCTCCATTGACGAGAAAGAAAGATACCCAGGTCAAGATTTAAGCAGAAGAAGGGAAAGAATATTGGAGAATATAGTTGATGGAAAACAGTAGGTTTATGGAAATAAAATGTACTATATATATATATATATATATATATATATATATATATATATATATATATATATATATATATATATATATATATATATATATATATATATATATATATATATATAAAAGTATGGAAAAGAGAAGAGACGTTAGAATTTGACAAAGTGGAAAATAATGGGAGATAACTATAAGAGGCGGAAAAATTACGAAACTAAGAAGTTAGGTGGCAAAAGAGGAAAGAAGAGGAAGAGGTAGGTATGTGAAAAGGCAAGAAGTGGAGGCCATGCCTCAATGCTGGTATTAAGACGTCGAGGTTGAAATATGATTTCTCATATTTGACTCGTAAGTTGATGGAAAAGATATAGCGAAAAAAATAGAAAAGATTAATAGAATTGTAGAAGAGAATTGAGGATTGATTAGAAGGTTTTTTTTTTTTTCCTGTCTAGTGTGCATGTATTAAGACATCGAGGTTGAAGTATGTTCTCTCACGTTTGATTCGTAAATTGACGAGAAAAATAGCAAAAAAAGTAGAAATGGCTAACGGAATTGGAGAAGATATTAAGGATTAGAAATCGAGGATTGATTAGGAGTTTTTTTTGTCGAGCATGACTTAATAAAAACATTGAATTTGAAGAATGCTCAGATTACTCACCCATGTTTGACTCGTAAATTGATCAGAATAATAGCGAAATTAAATAAAAACAACTAACAAGTTGGAGAAGTGATCGAGGCATGCCTATATCAAGACTCAAGATTTTTTTTTTTTTTTTTTTTTTTTTTGTCTGTGTAGTGTAGTATGTGGATGGTCAAAATTGAGTTTGTAAGAGTTGAGAAAGTAAGGTGAATTAGTTTCGTGAGGTGTGTTTTGGTGAAAATTGCTATTCGCATACGCGACTTTGAAAATTGATTGTAACAAATTAATGTTGCTCAACTAACAAGTTGGAGAAGTGATCGAAGCATGCATGTAGTGGAGGGCATGCCTGTGTCAAGACTCAAGATTTTTTTTTTTTTTTTTGGTCGATGTAGTGTAGTGTGTGAATGCCCAAAATTAAGTTTGTAGGAGGTGAGAAAATATGGTGAGTTGGCTTCGTGAGGTGTTTTTGGTGAAAATTACTATGCGCGTACACAACGTTGGAAAATTTATTGTAACAAATTAATATTGTTCAACAAAGCTAACAAGTTGGAGAAGTGATCGAGGCATGCCTGTATCAAGACTCAAGATTTCTTTTTTTTTTTTTTTTGTTTTTTGTTTTTTGTCGGTGTAGTGTAGTGTGTGGATGGCAAAATTAAGTTTGTAGGAGGTACGAAAGTATGGTGAGTTGGCTTCGTGAGGTGTTTCAGGTCAAAATTGCTATGCGCATACGCGACGTTGGAAATTGATTGTAACAAACTAGTGTTGCTTTAGTGAAATTGTTAGTCGTTTTAACTATTTTGCTATCTTTCTCACTAATATAGTCAAACATGGGAGAGCTTACTTCAAACTCATCTTAATTTATGAAAGCATCAAACGGAAAACACCAAGCGACAAACGACATACGACAAGTGGCAAGTTGTTTCCTAGTTTGCTTCAATGAGTACATTAGATCCATGTGCATGTCAACTCAACAACTTAAATACGACGTATATAGTTTTGTTTCCGATAAGAGATTATATAGTTGTTACATAGCTTTAAGGTGTACAATAATTGACAATGTATTTCCCTATGAGGATTTAGCCGCATAGCATCACCTTGAAAACGAGAGTAACAAACGCTGAAGTTTGTCAAAAAGATAATAAAGGCAATTTAATTTATTGATTATTGTTGTTAAAGTAATTGATTTTATTGGAATATTTTATGATTGAAGTGTCATCTATAGCACTTAATGCAAGCCATGCTATTTAGGAATCAAATAAAAAGGAGTAATTTACATTTATAATTATTTTTATATACTCCATAATATAATAGGCATTTGAATATTAAATGAAATATATAATATTTTAACTACTCAAATACATATATAACTAGGCACTTTAAACGATTAAATTTTATATAAAAAGTAACTTAAGGTCATGTCAATAATTATTTATAAGAACAATTACTATGATATTTATACAAAAAGAAATTTTGGTAAACTAAATCAAATTCGAAAACCCCTCTCAATTGAAGGGTTGAGATTTAAACCAGTTACATAGTAGCTGCATATTATTTAGCCATTGACAAAAGGTTTCCCAATTTTTATGCATCTTCAACATCACCATCAACCTTCCATTCATCCACGGTCTCTCAATTTACAATTCATCATTTGCTGGTTTTGTTCATCTTCACCATCAACAATTCAACATGTAAACCCCCAAGGGCCCCCAACTCATACACATCAACCTTCCTCAACACAAGATGCACCTCCATAATAATTCAATAGCAATTTTATACTAGTATGTAAATCACCCAAAATTCATTTACAATTAAAGTTGGGATTAAGCTAATTTTAATCACCAATTTAATACTAAACTCACCTTTAAATCAACTAAAACCCATTTATAAGCCCAAAAGCCAATCCCCCAGCCTTTTGGTTAGGATCATGTATTAGTCCATGCTATATTAAAAGGGTAGGATATTATTCTTTCAAAAAAAAAAAAAAAAAGGGTAGGATATTAGATTAAAAATTATAATTACAGTGATAGAATTTGAAGAAAAAAATCTAAACTAACATTTTCAGTCATCCGCAGAGGAGACATTCCATCACAAATAGGTGAAATAGCCCCAAAATCCTACAAAGTACAGATATGATAAGAAAGCTGTGCAGGATATACATTCTTGAAGAAGTGTTGTGGGTACTGGGTAGGCTTTTTATGGAGACCTATTTTGTACTGGCCTGCTCAAAGGATCTCCTTCAACAAAGCAGGAAATCACGGGACAGTGGGCTCTAAAACTATGACGAAGATCAAATGCTCTTAATACAACTAAAGTTTTCATTACAACCATTACTCCTCCCATTGCTCAAATAGAAAGCACACGACTGAAAAACCCTTGCACACAAGACATAACACATCAAATCACTTCCGAACTGTTATAATTGGAGGCCACGAGAACCTCTTGTAGCTTGTACCATCTTACTCACTAGCTTCACCAAAAATGTCCCCTTCCTGCTGCTCCACTTCTTGACTCTTTGTGCTATTTATAGCTATATCATTAAAGCTTAGATCATTTCTCCAAGGAGGCGGAGTCACACAATCAGACTCCCCTGTTGAACTTTGAGAAGGATTCCTGGCAGGTGTTGAGGGAAGGGAATTGGCAGAAGAGCGACCCGTCCTCAGCTTTTGCAGGGTGGCAAATGACTCCCTCATTGCTGACATAGCTTCAAAAAACCGAGTGCATGATGCTAGAGCAACAGGTATTGGACGCAGCATATCCTACATTAAAGATTAGGAAGCGAACAGTAAGGACAAGGAGGTAGATAATGAAACAAACATTAAGGCTTGCACTTATTGCATGAATCTCAGCATTAAGGCTTGCACTTATTGCATGACAAGATAAGTTCAGAAACTGAGCAACCACTACCAATAACGAAACATTATCTTTTCTATCAAAGAATATATGCCTCAAATTAATCTGTCTTGCTACCTCTTAGATAGCAGAAAATTAGCAAGCAATATTTACCTACAAAAAGCATCCACAAATTTAAAATTACTTCACTGGGCTAGGAACACACTTTAGTAATCTGGTTACATGGCAAGAGTGACTAGATGCAAAGTTTCAAAGACTATACTTCATATTAAATTTACTTTCTAAAACTTGTTTACTTATGGAACCCAACTTTGACATGCTAAAAGAGGAAAAGGTATACAGAATATCAGGTCAAGCACAATGGATTTGGGCGCATCAAACACATGATCTTTGAAATTTTTCCAACAATCTATATCACCAGACTAATTTAACTTTTCAGCAACTTTTAAGCAGACATGTTTAAGGCCTAATTGATTTTAAAAATGTATTTTATCCCTTTCTACAAATTTGCAGATAATTGTGTCATATCAGAACTCAGAAAGCCTACTTAAGAACCTGCTGATTTTTATCCCATCTTACAATTATGATTGTTCAAAACATTACCAGCAAGCTACTATCATATGAAATAGCTTTATTTCCCAACTTCTATAAATATTTTTTTTTGTACTTTCCAATGCAACAAACAGTCCCAACCCTACATACATAATCTTCGGGAACAGACCCCCCCCCCTCCCCCCAATATCTTAATTAGTGCTAAGAGAAAGCACATAGATTTAGCTGATTCACTTGATCACTTCTCCCATGACGACAGATATATGAAATTAAAAGATATGTAATTACAGTCTCCAAGCAGCTACGTTTTTCAGCCACGTTAACAAGTTTCAGTAAATGAAGCCCTCCCCATCGTTCAGAAGATGGAAAAAGGTCCACTGATTTGCTTGCCATTGTGAAAGGAGAATGTTTAGGTTTTAACATCTCCCTTTATTTTTATCTCTCTTCACTTTTTTCATAAACCAAAGCTTTACAAAGAAAATAAATGAGCCCTTACAAGGCGGAAATAATCCAAATCAGAAAGCATCAGATTCTCTATGGAATGGAGAAAATACTAGTACTTCACAGTACAAAATAAAAATGTCATCGCCCATATTATTCCAACTAAAGTCAAGAAAAATTTCAGGTACATACAGCCCAAACTGAAGGTGGTTCCTTAAAGTTTTGGCTCCACTGAAAATCTGCAACTGATGCTGACAACGCACCATAATCACTAGCCGCTTTCATTAGTAATTCCGAGAATTGCTTCTGTAAACATCAACCCAAGAAAAAGAACAGCGCATTAAGCCAATAAAGCCCAGTATGGGCAGTATCCACAAAATACAAACCAAGCATATAAATTGCTCAGTTACACAAAAGGCCAAATCATATAAGGGAACATACCAAGGGAAACACTCATCTGTAGAACTTATTCTATAAAAAATCCTAAAGAAATTATAAGTTTTAGTTTTTTAAACTGTCGAAATAAATATATTCAAACTTGAACAAGTTACACCGAGCTAATAAAACGAGTTATTCATGCACTAGAGACAAGTGTTAACGAACATGAATGAGACAAAAATGAAGGTGTCCAAGTTTGGCTTGTATACTTAACGAGCCTAGAAGTTTTGTTCAGCGTTATTAATCTACCAAATAAACGAATTTTAAGCGAGCTTGTTTACGAGTTGTATGCGAATATATTAGCTTATTTACAGCCCTGGTCCCTGGATTTTAGAATGTCATGACAAGAAATGTAGTAATTCAAGAACCATGTGATAGCAATTCAAAGTTTAAAGCAGAAATGCAGTAACTCAAGAACCACACATGGAGAATTCCTACTAACACAATCACTAAAGCAGAAATGTATAACAACGGTCAGGTATATTCTTCCAGTAGGTTATGTACTGTCAAAGAAAATTTGCTAATTACAAACCTGGAATTCTGCTTCCACGGGAATGCAATCCAATGAGTAAGGCTGTTGAAGACGGGCAATAATACGATCCTGAAAAATTATGATAAAATGAAAGAAAAATTCAAACTGTAGGTAACACAAACAGCAAATTTCAACCATGGCTCTCATGTGCCTAACAAATTCAACGCATTTTTTGATCCAACAGAGGCTCCACAACCACAAGCAGGACAATATAACCCAGATGTCAAAGTTAATGGAGAAAAAAGCTTAAAATAAAGATATCACAATAATAGCCTACAGTGTGCAGCTGTGTATGCCACTAAACTAGAGTGGGGAAGCCATTACTTCTGTTAACAAGTGAGCTAGGTGCCAACAGTATGCAGAGTGGAAACCATCAGATGGCCATCACCCTGTCTTCCTGAGTAAAGTGACCCTGACAGAGCAATTGTAAAGAAGCTGATTATATAACAGAGAAAAAGGGACACATAATAGCTCTGGTGGGTCAATAAGCCATATTTTTTAGGCACAGACACAAATCCATTGCCAGCAACTTCACAATTTCTTAGATTGTACTTGGGAATTTTTATTAGGCACGCCTGCTACAGTAGATGGGCAGTCAGAATTTTTCTTGGAAGTCTTTGAATTTATGCATGACACTAGCCCAAGCTGCCTAGCTCATGTTGGAGAAGATTATCAACCTTGAGTTAACTACAGGATTGTGTTAGCATACTACTACATAATCTATTTGATCAGGGACACCTTTATCTTGAAACATCATATACTCATGCCCATATGGGTTTTGAAGGAATAAGCAATGCACAAATGATGTATACGGAGTATATAGCTGTCATCTTAACTTAATGTAAATGCAGCTCAGTCTAATAGCTTTGAGTGAGTTGAATAAATGCATTAACATACAAAGACACTTCTAAATACCCCCCACCCCCCCCCCCCCCCCCCCAAAAAAAAAAAAAAAAAAGAAAAAAGAAAAAATGTTGCACTCTTCGAAATGCTAAATTTTAAATTGGATGATACATATCCTTATTAATTCTATTTCATAACTGTGGATTTCAACATACATGACCTATCATAAAGCCCTTAATCCTAAGCCTTTCCAGTCAATAAGAAGCTACTTCATTCCAAATTAATTGACATGTTTCTTTTATCATGTTTGTCAATGCATATAGTCAACCATAAATATTGGTAATTATCAATAAGTTAGAATTAAAAAAAAGTTGATATTTTAGATGTACACATAGAAAAGAATTTAACAAGATCCACGTGACTTTTTTCTTATCTATAAATCACAAATGCTAGTCAGTATACAATTTGCAAATACTGAATAGTATCAAAATTCAACATGTCAACTGAAATGGAGGATATAAAAGAAAAGATGGCAACACATACATAAAACAAACTTTACTCTAGAACTTGATAGAGCACATAAGACAATTATCTCACGATGTCTCAATTTGGAAGAGATGTCATGTAGTAACTATCTACATGTTCATGAATGCTAACAAGTTCCATTTGCGAAGAGGAGAAACACACTTTCTACGTTTTCTTTTTGGCAATTAATTCAAAAATGTCCCAATCACGAGAAAATACAAAAAAGTTTACGCAAAAAGCCTAAAAACATTAAAGTTCATAATATCTCCGGGACATCAACACTCAATCTACCCCTGCATTCAGTCAACCTGTATATAATGGATTAGGTTTAGGATGCTATTTTTGAGATCCGGATCCAACCTGTGGATCAGTCTTTAACGTCTTTGTATTTTATGATACAATTTTATAAAATTTATACTCCCTCTTTTTTTTTTCTTTTTTTTTTTTTTTTAATAATTGCGCCATTTGAAGTTTCACGCTTGCCAATGCAAAGCTTTTAAACATTAATATCTTTACTTTTGTTTAGTATAAATTATAGATATTTGATATTTGAAAAGTATAAATCAACACAAATCCAATAAAATCCCACACAACTATATTTTTTTTCTTATGTATAAAAACAACAAATAAGAGGGGTGTGTGAATAGTGTAAAAGTCCAAATGGTGCAATTAAAAAAACAGAGGAAGTATATTACTACCTCCGTTTCATATTATTTGCAACTTTTGAATAATACCCCAAAGTTGCAAATAATATGAAACAAAGGTAGTATTTGATTTGACTTTGATAGTAATTATGGTACTACTAATACTTTTAATGTTTCTCATGGACTATTAATTTATAATTTTATATACTCCCTCCGTTCCCGAAAGTTCGACTCATTTTGCATTTATGCGATCTCCAATGAACATCTTTGACCGTGAATATCTTTGGCTATGTATGAGTAAAAATTACAAAAAGTTGATATTTAAAAAAGTTATAATAAGGTGAATCTAATAAGATCCCACATGCTAATATATTTAAACTTTTTTTTATTTTGACTACATGAATAGTAAGTGAATCGAACTTTTAAAAACGGAGGTAGTACTTTGTATCCCCTCCCATTTCATAATAATTAACACAGTTATTTCTTTTGGCTGTTTAAGAATAATTGACACATTTCCTTATTTGGATATGACACGACATACTAAATGTTTTTACCTTACTCACCATAGCCCACTTACTTTCATCACACTCACATGTCTCTATTTTCTTTATTATGCGCCTAAAAGTGTCTATTATTTCAAAAAAAAGGGGAGTAATTTTTTGTGAATTAAAAACTTTTTTTGCTTTTATTTGCCATTTCGGAAATTTGATGGCATAAGCATGTAAGATGATAGGCAGAAATAATAATATTTTTTCAATTGGCTAAAAAAAAAAATTACAAATTTTTAAAATAAATCAATTTAATAAAAGCGAAAAAGTTACATGTGGATACAAATCTAGCTCTAGATTAATATCTGAAAATTTGGGATTTGCAGATAAGAATCCACGTATAGAAAGTCCAATCCGGCCAGTTTTCTTCCCTAGATGCCAAAGTCTCAATCCCTCTCTAGCTAAAGCATCAACAAGTTAACAATAACGAGACAAAACCAGTGGATGATTCACTACTCCCTAATGTTACCAAATGTTGATAAATTTTTTTAGCACGGTTCAAGAAGGGTATAGCATCATTTTTAGAAAAAGCAAATTTTTCTAGGACAAGAGTTGTAGCTTATTTGTTAACTAGCCATGTCAAATTGTTAATTGCCTCTCCAACTCCTACGATCAACAAATTTTAGCAATTGAAAACTTGATAAATCATTCATTTCTAGAGTGACAAGTACACTATAGTCTACAGAGTTATGGTTGAACCTGTAAAACAGCAAAGGCCACTTTTACACACCAAAATTCACAGTGGTCCATAGCATATTCAGTTAAAAATATTTATTTGAATAATGTATAGCATGGATAATCCAGAAAAAGTGATACCTTATTTTGAATCACATCTTTCAATATAGTAGTTATTCTAGCTAAAGTCTCTATCTTCTTTTCCATTTCGGTCACATGTGTTAAATATGCCACATTCTTGTCATCCTACAAAGGAAACATGAATTGTTCAGTGGACTGTAAATGGTCAGAACAAACTATAACAAACACATTACTGCCACAAGAATACAAGATTTAATGGCCCCAAAACATAAAACTTGATAAACAGACATACACTATTATTCGAAATTAAAAAGCAATGTTCAGCCATAAAGGACCTTCTACACATTCATTCTTTGGTCATAGAATATAAATATCCAATGACAATGCTGAACCTATATCTAATAGTCGGCACTTGGCAGTAACCCTTTGAGCCATGATGCCTTTTCCATATAAAGAATGTTTAATTGAAAATTATATCCATCACACCTTTAACTATATTATGTGGTTACATCATGAAGGAGCATTCATCATTTACAATATTAGGGACTGGTTATATTGAGATGGTTGTACGGGAACACCTTGATGGATAGAATTAGGAATGTAGATATAACCAAGATGTGGGAAGGAAAATGCACTCAGAAATTTGTTGAGATAATTCCTTGTCTTGGCATTGATCCTCAGCCACTCAAATGATGTGGAAGTTGTATAACATTAGTAGATATTAATATTAAACATCTCTTTCTAATTTTATCTTCACCTATTTTTCTTCATTCTTCTTCTGCAATCAACCATCTTTTTCTTATTTCCATTTATTTTTTATCTGATCACCCTTTTCTCAGTTCTACATCATTCTTTTCCTCTATTCCCTTACTAATATCTCTTTTAACTCAACCCACACTAACCTCTCTGAACCATCAAATGATGTGGAAGTTTGAAATTTGCCAAAATCGTTGAAAATTTCCCTGGCTATTAAGTTTCCTGAACCCCAAAAAAAACAAATTCATCTTCATTTGCTCACACAATACTAGTACAATTAAAATGATGGGTATTTGTATGCATTCCCACTTGTATAATCACTTTTATAATCCACTCAGTGTTTCAGCCCAACCTATAATTTGTGGGGCACGATATTATACCAAATCTTCTGCACAAATCATTTAATGCATGTTTGATATGTGGATTTGAGGTGAACACTATTGACCCTCTTTAATGGGTATTCGATGTATAATCCTTACATATGAGTAGAAACCTGTAATTTGTGTAGCGCGATATTTTACCAAGTAATCTTGTGCATGAATCACTTACAAGGTGAAGACCAGATAGGAAAAAATTAAACGGAATTAGTTTCACCATTAAGCATATATAAACTAGAAAGCACTATTTCATTTTGGCGGAAAACTAAAACCATGGAAATACAACAAGTAACACGCACACACACATCATGCATCCATTGATGAGGCTACCATCCACAATAATCAGAAAAAAGATTATAAAAAACAATGGATAAACTCTAACCTTTCTGCCTCGTAACTCTACTTCTAAATCTGCAATTTTCCTCTGAACTGCTGTAAGGTCTCTTAAAACCCTTACCAGATCATCACTCTTCTCCCCAGTGGCAGATGGATTTTGGAGAGCTTCCTATAAAAAGGGAAAGGCAGGGACAAAACTGAGTTGACGCAAATACACAGCTGTACAATGAGTTATTTCAAAATGGGCACTGAAAATATGCAAAACATAAACAAAAAAGCAACAATTCAAAGGTACGGGAGTAGCATTAAGGAAATAATAGAAAAAGGCACACTACGCATCTCATAAACTATCATTCCGTAAACACAGTCAGCAACTTGTAATAGGGATGATGGTAGACCTCAGCAAAGCTTCTTGTGCCCCCTCAACAGGCCCTTTCCTCTAGAAAATGAGATATGTTTCCCAAAAACCTTTCTGCTTATCTACAAGTTTCATGAATGAAGTATGAGTCTTAATTTCTTTAGCCACAGTCATTACAGGAATTACATTCTTGAGAGATAGGGAGAGAGCCACCTTCTCGGAAGAGTTCTCCCTTTAAACCCTAATTTCACAAGCTACCAACTGAACAAACTATCAAACCAGGCAGCATTACAAGCAGTAATTCTCTTAAGCATAATAGCCTTTACAGTTTACACAGGTGTAAATCTCTAACTTAATAGCAATACACCTGAAAAAGATCATCAAACATACCAAGCTTCTGTTCCCATATCATCATATTCCTGATGGTCCATACATTATAAACCACATCATATAGAGCAGCAGGAAACACATGATATCTGAACTTATTTCTTGCCACGCAAAAATAGTCTGCCAGCCTTCAGAGTCATCTTCACTTACCACCGAGTCAGTAACGAGAAGCACATTTCCAGGAGATCTCGCAGTCAAAAAAAGGTGGGGGCGGGATTCAACCACATAGGAGGCAGGTATTCTCATCACAAACTTCTACACATTATAGCTTTACCAGAGTATTAAGCTTCTCATTTAGCATAAGCCAACAAAAGTTGAGTGTGGAAATTTTAAGGCAATTTCAAAAGCAACAGCCACAAAACATGGGTGTATTGGTAGGAGCCCCTTATAATCATCAAATACAGTATACGTATCATTAAATGAAAATTTCCAATTTGGACCACAAAAACCCACTTTTAAGTCCATCCTTAACAGAACATATTTTCTTCCATTCCCAGCTAGTATTGCTCTTGGGATTGTAATCCCACCAATAATTATTATGCAGGTACACATAGTGAACCCATTTTACAAATAAATTACCAATTTTCTTGGCCACATGCCAAGCATATCTTACCAAGGTAGCAATATTCCACTGGTAGCAATTCTCAACACCCCAAACCTCCTTCAGCGGTTCAGCCTTGGATATGCAAACAACAACCCAGAAAAATGAGGGAATGTTTTGTATAAGTAGCTTTCCCTCCCCAAAGACAAAGAAAGGCAAGGAAAGTAAAGACGATTTCATTAAGCCCAATTTAAGGTATCACTAGACTAGTACCCGCGCGTTGCACGGTGGTGAAAAGTAATTAATCCATATTTTATTTATATCTTTTGTTGTTGATAACTTTTTAATTTTTTAATTTTTTTGTATAAAGATGCTTTTTATAAATATAAAAAAAAACATGTACAGAATCCTTTTTTTTTTAATGGTTATTTTTTTATGCTACATCATAATATTTACTATGTTATTGAAAATATATTAAAGTGATGGTTAGACAAAATATATTTAATGTTGTATTATCTATTGAGCTTACGCGTTTAGAGTGGAAGTTAAAGACACAATATCTATATCTATTAAATATTGTTGTACAGTATTAGGAATATCCAAAATTAGTACGGAGTATACAACAATATTGATACAAAATTCAAGTTTCAGATTTTTAGTTTCATACCTACTTTGTTCTAATTCCTGGCAAGTAAAATGAAAGAAGAAAAAAAAAATTGATGACATCATATTGAAGTTTGGAGGGAATTTTTTTAATGAGAGCTTGACACATAAAACACTTTAAGGAATTGATGACATCAACACGTTTTGTTTTAGTAATAGTTATAGATAACCCAGAAAGGGGTGAATTTGAGTGAGCACATAATTAATAAGTTAAAGTCTTCCTATGTAAGACAAATGCCTAGAGTCCCACCTCCTGGCAAAGTTGCTGAAAAGACAGAGGTATGCCTAGGAATTGAACAAGTTACATAACCAGAAACCTTGAGAATACTCTTCTTCTCAGATGGGACGTTTCTAAAGTACACAGCAGACTTTGGCACATCAAAAGATGAGCCAGATTTAAAGAGGTGGAAATTCTTAGTAAAAGAAGAACAATAGAAGAGAGATCATCTTTGCACAACAAAATTAGGCCACAGAAAGAAGGAAAATCCCCAACTACACATAGAGGGGATATTACACGCATAAGACACAGAGATGACCCTTCTAAGTTCTGACCCTCAAAACAGCCATGAAAACTTCAAAATTGTGTATTTTGGGGAACATACACAAATCATTAGCCATGTAATTATCTAAGAAAAACATCAATCTTAAGGAGACACCTAAGAGAGATGGTTATCCTATTGTGAATATAAAGCACTCTGACTTTAAATACAACCCCGGGAAGATCTTTTTTAGGTCTCATGCATAACATTGTAGTGATATCCACAGAGGACAGAACAAGAAGTCTGGAATCTAGACCTCATTCAGGTTAGGCAACCTTAGAAATCATAGTACGAAAAGTAAAATTGACCTTACCAAGCAGTTTCCTCCATATCAGTAAATCAAAGCACATGCATCTTTTCCTCCATAAAAACCCTAAACTGATAGATCATAGTCTCATACGCTTTGCACAAATCAATCTTCGCGAGAAACCTAGGAGAGATAGCTATCCTATTCTGAAAAAAGCCTACTGAATTCAAGAACAATCCCTGGAAGATCATTTTTTAGTCTTATACATAAATTATATAAAGAAAGATTAGATGACGCTCACTTCTCCCATCACTCAAACTAACATCTCTTCCCAACTCCTTCACTAATTAATACATTTAACTGAAAACTCAAAGCTATTCTGACATGACTATAATTATATGTATTAATTAAGTTTCCAACCTTCCACTCTAATTTAACTATGAGCAATCAATCAATCGAAGCCTTAATCCAATAAGTGGGGTGGGCTACATAAACCAAAAGTGATTATTCCGTATAATCAAAATCAATCTAGATAGAAAAAAGTAGCAAAATTTAAGAAGATTAAGTAATAAAATAGTGAAAAGAAAGGGCAACCTGTGGAGGTGTAGAGACATTGAAACCAAGATCAGAAGCAATGGAGAGAGCATCTGACATGCCACCAACTCGCCTCAACGGTTTCTTCCCAACCCATGATGTGTCGCTTCCGGTAGACATTTTAGCTTTTACACTTGATCCAGCAAACCAAAGATGTTTGATTCAAGGGTTGAATCCTAACATTAAAGGGTCGTGCAATACATTAGCAACCAAATTTGATTCGAAAAATCACATAATTTTAGGATGCAATAATCAAATTAGGCTCATAATTTTGGTTATCTTAGAATTTAGAACCAATAGTTGAGATTTTGGAACCCTACACTTAATGCAGTGACAATCAAATTAGATTGTGAAATTGATATGATGATAACAAAAACCAAACAACTTACCTCAGAAGCTGCTGAAAATCAACTGCACTTCAATGGAGAACGTTGAGTGCGCTTCAATGGAGAATGTTGAGTGCGATTAAATCAAAGACAAACCCTAGATTTTGAAATTGATATGATGATTACAAAAACAAACAAATTACCTCAGAAGCTGCTTCAATGGGGGATACACGTATTAGATTCAACGGAGAACGTCAACTGCGCTTCAATGGAGACCGTTGAGAGAGAGGTAGGATTGGAGTAGCGCGGCCCAGCCCAGCAATTTGCTTCGGTTAATTTGCCCAGCAAAGGGGTAAAATGGTAAATTCGAAATGGGGTTTGTGTAGGTGGTCGAAGAGGTGGTGGATGAGGCGGTCGAAGAGGTGGTCGTTGCAGTGGAAGAGGCGTTATTGAAAAGGTACTTAGTGTTAATTGCGAAAATGTGGGTGTCTCTTTGATTTAATTGGTACTTAGTATGTTTGAGTAAATTGGTACTTAGTATTTTTGTGTTTATAGAAGCACAAGTAAAAATAGCTTAAACTTGGGGGCCTTTAGGCTGTAGCTGTTGTAATCATGATTTTTTTTTTTTTTTTTTTTTTTTTTTTTTTTTTTTTTTTTTTTTTGTCTTAAAGGTAGCATGATGTTCTTGGTGTCTTTTCTAATGAGGAAAAGACAATAGTTGTCCACATTTGATTTTAGAGACAATCTTAGCTATTTATTTTGAAGTTTTATGAAATCATCTTCTATAGCAACCTAACCTGATTGTTTGAACTCTTAATTCTATAAAGAATCTCAAATGTTCACATAGAAGTATTAATTGAAATCTAATTTAGAGCCACATATTTGTTTTTATTATGGTAGTATGCAAGAAATCTTAAAACTGATCTCTTGGGTTAGAGAATGTGAAACGCTAAACATCGCCCGCAATTTACCATATAAAGCCCACAAATATGTTATGATTTGACCATTATGCCCTTTTGCTAAAATTGAGATAATCTCGGTGTAAAAAATGTGGAGCCGTACTGGCTCGTCGGGGGAGACCGGATGGCAGGCCGGAGATGCGGGGGACGCCGGAGGTACGTCGTCGTCGACGGAAAACGAGGTAAGTGACCGCTAAAATTCACGGTATACCGTCGTAGTGGCTCCGGCGCCTAGGGTGGACGCCCAAACCGTAGCCTGGACGTCCAAGCCGGACGCCAGAACCACCAGAGTGGCGTCCAGGCTAGACGCCCAGACCACCAGAGTGGCGTCCAGCCCAGACGCCCAGACCACCAGACTGGCGTCCTGGGCAGACGCCACTCCACTGGGTGAGGCGGCCCTGCCAGGCGCCAGTCCAGTGGGTGTGGCAGCCCTGGCAGACGCCACCTTTAATAATTAATTTTTATTTTTTCCTTTTTGATTTTGTTGTTGTTTTTTATTTAATTTTTTTGTGAAAATAAAAAATCGAAAATGATTTTTTAAAAAAATTCGAAATGGGTTTTTTGTAAATTAAATTTGAAAATTCGAAATAGGTTTTTTTAAAATTAAATTTGAAAATTCGAAATGGTATATTTTTAAATTTAGTTTGAAAATTCGAATTGGGTTTTTATAAAAATTAAGTTTGATTATATATAATTATGTTTTTTTTTTGTGTTAATTATGTGAAAATATAGAAATTAAATGTATTATCCGTTAAATGTATTTATTGTAATATATAATTGATGCAGGAATATGGTGGAGACGGAAATGATTACAGTGAGATATTTGGACATGATGGTCCATTCGAAGAAGCTCAACAGGCGATTGATTGGGCAAAACAGGTTGCAATTGCAGCTGGATTTTGCTTGGTAGTAGCAACTCATAAATCTCAACGGGATGGTAGAATGGATCGCATTTTGAGATGTGACCGTTATCGCAAAAGAGAAGAAAGAGATTTTCGTACAGCCACTCGGTTTGACACAAAGCGGAAAGGTTGTGGGTGTGAGTTCAGAGTAAAGGTTCGACAACTACGGAGTCGTGACGGTTGGGAAGTGATAGGTTACTCTAAATGGGGGTATCACAACCATGAGATGATAGTATATGAAGAGGGTCATCGACAACTGAGCGGCTTAAGTCCTGCTGCGAAACTAGTTGTGAAAGAAATGAGTGATGCTCAAGTGAAGCCTGCTAAAATATTAGCATCTGTGTTAGAGAAATTTCCAGAAGACCATCCAAACCGAAGACACATCTACAACGTCAGACAGCAACTCAGGTTTGAACGGTCAGAGGGAAGGAACCCTATACAGCAGCTGCTACACCAGGCACAATCACGTGGTTACCTGTTCTGGTTTGATTTCTATGAAGATACAGCGGAGGTGACTCATCTTTTCCTTCTGCATCCTGATTGTGCTGATATGATCAAGTCTTGGCCATTTGTGATTTTGATCGACTCAACGTACAAGACAAACAAGTACAAGTTCCCTCTGGTTGAGATGGTTGGGATGGCTCCAACGAACCAGAACTTTCTGATTGGTCATGCAATCATCAGGGATGAGACGGCTCCAAGTTATTATTGGGTTTTGGAGAAGCTGAGAAACTACATCGGGCCTAATGTTCATCCAGCAGCCATCGTCAGCGACTGTGAGGGAGGTCTCTTTGCCCCCATAGCAGAGCTGTTTCCCGAATCGAACCACTTATTGTGCACATGGCACATCAACAACTGCGTGAAAGTGAAAGCCTACAACCTTTTCAAGAAGAATTTGGAAATGGCAGAGAGATTGGTGAATGGTAAGTGGCGGAAGATCCTACAGGCTACCACAGAGGAAGCGTATGAGCGAGCATTGGCTAACTTCAGGGATTCGTACCAGTGGTGTCCGGCACTGGTGGACTATGTGATGCATCAATGGGTCCCTCATAGGGAAAAGTTTGTCAAATATTGGACAAACCAGGTACTTCATTTTGGGAACACTACAACATGTAGAGTTGAGAGCGCTCATAGAGCTACCAAGGACTGGATTGATTCATCGACCGCTGCTTTGGATACACTGTTCGCTAGACTGAACAAGTCAATTGAAACTCAGAAGAACGACATCAGGAACTCTCTAGAGGACTCCAGACGACGACATGGTACGATGTATAGCCATTTTATATTTAAGATTCTCCATGGTCGTGTGTCGCACTACTGCTTGGGGTTGATTCTCACTGAGCTGAACAGGGTGAGGGACTTGGCTGACGAAGTGTATACTCGGTGTGGGTGTACTATTTCAGTAACTCATGGATTACCTTGCGCATGCACCATTCATCGCGTTATTACAGAAGAAAGGGCGTCGTTACATGTTGATCAGGTCCATTCATTCTGGAGGACGCTTGTTATTGGTGAGCATGCAGACAATCAAACGGCCGACCGTGAACAGGAAGAGTTGGAGCAGTTCCGTTCGATGTACGACCGAGTGTCCTCCAGCCATCCTTCTATTATTCGTGACGCTACTCATGTGCTTCATGACATGTTCCACCCGTCTAACTTAGATTATGAGGAACCCGAAGGAGTTGATCGTCCTCGAGGTCGACAACGGCGGAACAGGAGTGCGTTTGAGTATATCCGTGGTCTTGGTCGTGGTCGTTCTCGTGGTCGGACATCGTCATCTAGTCGTAGTCAATCTTCATCGTCTGTGAATATGCCCCTGAGAACTGGTACGTTTTGGTTGTTTTTATTGCACATAGTTTTAAAGTGTTACTCCTGTCTTCTTAACTGTCTATAATTAATTATTTGGTGAATAGGAAGAAACGATGTTTATCAGTTTCCGTACAAGGAAAGGATACCTGCGATCATCATGTCGTACGTGGAAGGGTGGAATGATGTAATCGGAGATGGTAACTGCGGATTCCGGGTCGTGGCTGATGTTTTTCAAATGGGCGAAGACAACTACGGTTTGGTGCGTGAGTTGATGTACAGCGAAATTGCCTCTAACCGAAATGTTTATCGTCATGTGTACCAGGATGACTTGGATGGCGCTCTCCGGCGTATCCGGTGGGGAGGTGGACCTTGCGGCGAAAATCATTATTTTGACGCGCCCCTAGATCTGTTTGCCGTTGCAAACATTTACAAATGCGCAGTCATGCATTTCGGCCTGGGAGTGCATAGTCAAGCTTATTATCCTTGTACCACGGTTCTCCCTTGGCGGTCGCGTGAGACTGTCACCACACCGGTCAGAGAGCTAGCTATTGCGTTTCTTGGGTCGTCATACAGACATTTCATCCGACTAGACATGTCAACCGATTTTCCGGTGCCACCGATTATACCTCGGTGGTACAACATTCGCACAGCGAGCGTAGAGGGTTGGGATGCGCTATATAATGACCGGATCCACGAATGGAACACCCTAGCTGCATTTTAGTTTTTCTTGTTTACATTCTTTATTTGTAATCTTATTTGTACGTTGCTCTTTTAATGAGAACATTAATATTTTATATTGTATTGCTTACTGCATTCTATATGTTGCATGGGTAAGTTGCGCGGATCCACGAACGGTTATATCAAAATTTAAAAACAGCACTGATAATATGTTTAAGTTGGAAGCTAAAAGAACAATCTAAAATGTTACAATTTTACAACATAATGTCCAACATAATGCTCTATAAATAAAATACAATAACCATCAGTAATCCCTCCTCGACGACGACTCCCATTGCGCAAGGGTCTGTTCCAGACTATCAACAACAGCTCTCCCTGTTGCACTCATGCTGTCCTTCTCAAGAGAGAGTTTCTGAACGTCTTGCATTATCTTTCCCATCCACTGCATACAACAAAAAACAGAAGATGAAATACAATAACAACAAATAAAACTTAATTAAAAGACAACGATAAATATAATAAAAGACATACCGCTTCCGTGGCAGTAGGCGGTGGCACATAATCATCATCGCTGTGGTCGAGATCAGCGATCAACCTCGGGTGCGAATACCGGTTGAACCATTCCATGTAGTAATGGTCACACATGGGAGTAACCCCAGAGGGCGGCCGCTGCAACTCCGCTGTCCATAATCGAGCCACCATCGGAAACTGGTCCCACGTCCCGGTCATGATATCCGGCCATTCCACGACGTACTCCCTCGACGATGCAGGTCGGACCGCCTTCATCGGGCACACCGGGGGAGGAGGGACAACTTGGACAAATCCAAGCTGGCGAAGACAACGTTGGGGCATGTACGCTTCGACGATGTCACGATACTGAATGAGTCCCGTGTACAGGGTCCTGGGTACCCTAACACTAGGGTTCGGGCCGAAAGGCATCCAGTTCACCTGTACAATTACAACATATAAAATATAATAACATGAATATAATATGTGCAAATAATAAAATGTAGACTCTATAAATAAACGTTACCTCTAAGGGGGACAGCCTGTCCAGCAATAACCGTATCGATCGGAGGCGGTCAACGGACTTCTTCTCCGAGCGCGGACTCCACGCACAAGCACGCGGCATCCCCTCATCAATAGGAACTGGGTCACGATGTGGTCGCAATGCAGGAAAGTACTCGTATATCCAAGTCTGCAATAGAGTCAGACACCCAGTGATACCTGCCGCGTCAGCCCGACTCGCAAATCCTAGTTGGCGATACAAATACGCCAACGTAGCCGATCCCCAGGAAAA